ACCACCACCACCAACATCATCATCATCATCATTACCACCACCACCATCATCATCATCATCCTCATCCTCATCCTCATCCTCATCCTCATCATCATCATCATGTCATCATGTCATCATATCATCATATCATCATGTCATCATATCATCATCATCACCACCAACATCATCATCATCCTCATCATCCTCACCATCCTCACCATCATCATCATCATCATCGTCATCATCATCATCTTCAGCGTCATCTTGATCATCATCACCATCACCATCATTATCATCATCATTATCATCATCATTATCATCATCCTCCACATTATCATACATTATCCTCCCACTCCACCACACTGTTTGGGGTCTCTTGCCGGGATAATTGTATTTTTATAAAACATCTAAACATATAAATCAACAAATAACAATAATAATCAAATTTATTTACATACAAATTAAATTCTTATTTTTCGCGAAATTCCTGAAAATTATATCAAGACAAATAATTTTGTTATAATTTACATATAATATATATAAATAAATAATTCAATATATAATTATATAAATAAATAAAATTCATTATTAAAAATAACATAAATAAATAATAATAAATAATGTTAAATAATATTAAATAATATTAAAAACTATATATATATATTTATAAATTCAAAAAAATATAAATTCACCCATCATTAAATTCCTTCCCCATCCCAAATTATCAAATAAATAAGGATGAAATTCTTTCCGATCAAAAAAATGTATAAGCAATATGACCAGAGGGAAATTTCCCCTCATGTAAGCTAAAAAAAGCTAAATATAATTAAATATGTTATCTCGCCAAATAACATACTCATCTAAAAACCCAACGGAAATACATGGCTTTGACCCTCAACACACGTTAGCCGAACACGATTAAACCAATCAACAAATTCATTGCAAATCCCATAGGCACAGCCACAATCGCTACGACCCTCCTGACGAGCTTCGCCCAACGGTATAAAAAAAGCCAAAAAGTCGTTACGACTTTATAATCTTTATATAATGGTCTATGATTTAGATATCAACATATTAGATATATATACTATATCAATTATAAGACATTTATATATATATATATATATTACATATACACTAAATATAAACACCATAGAACATACAGTAATCATATTCACATTTTGAACGAT